ATACGGCAGGGTTTCCATGCATTCATCTTATCATACAGTACGAAGAAGAGGAGAAGAGCTTTGAGCCTGAGTTATTTCATCAACACTGGCATTTATACAGTGTATTTGCACCTCCTATTAACCCACTACTTCTACTCCAGGATCCTCTCCAAGTGCGCCGGCGAGGGCGCCCTCGAGGCGCTAGGAACTTCATCGGCGGCGGCGGAAGCACCCAAGCAAGCACCCAAGCAAGCACCGAAGACACCTCCACCCAGCGAGACCCCTCCGGCTTCGAGCTCATGCTATCTCAGGAAGGCGGACGGGTCCGTGGACTCGGCCGAGGACGTGGCAGAGGACGTGGAGGGACACAACAGGCATCGCAGGGAGACAACAGGGTGGGAATAGCTTCATCTACGGCCCAGGAAGCTCAACAAGCTTCTCAGGAAGGTGGTCGGAGCCGTGGACCGGGCCGTGGACGCGGCCGAGGACGTGGCAGAGGACGTGGAGGGACACAACAGGCATCGCAGGGAGATAACAGGGTGGGAATAGCTTCATGCACGGCCCAGGAAGCTCATACGGCATCGCCAGCGAGCAATCCTGCTTCGCCGAGCATAGGAATAGCTTCATATACGGCCCAGCGCGAGGATTCCTGGCCCGACCGCCTCAGGAAGCGTCGGGGAGCTCCATAAATGACTGATACAATGCAAATTACTCAATTTCTTCACAATTCTCATGCAATTTATCAAGAAATTTGACCCAGAATAGCTGGATTCCTTCATTTCTGCAGAGTTTTCGAAAACAGCATCTATTTCCTATTCGGGACTAGTGCCATGCAGTTGACATGGTCGATGGTACAGTACGAAGGTGACTTAATTTTGCTAGGGGGCTGTATAGTAAATGGAAGTACCTCGAATCGATGGTGCCAGCAGGAAATACTGCCGGCAGAAAAATGTTGATGCCTGAGGGTCCAGGCAGGGGGGGTGTTAGCATCCAAAGGGGGTGTCTGTATCAGTCCCCTTTGTTTATTTTCTCTTTACCCTATTCTTTTTATTTATTTATTTCTTTTCTTCTGTTGGCCTTCTTAAAGGAACCACTTTGGCCAAACAGTTAGCAGTTATGTGCCACCCAACAAAAGATTAAGCTTCATGACGCTTTATTTTTCCCTTCTCAACCTGCGCCGAACTCCACTATCTGGCGCGCGGGCCCCATAGGTGGGTCGGGTCGTTTTTCTTTATTTGTTCTGTGGCTTTTTGCTCTTGTTTTAGTTGTTCTTTATATTTCGGGATCTCGATTGGTTGATCATACGTTTTTTTTTTTACCTTCATTTGTCCTCGTACTAGCGTCAGTAGAGTAAACACGGATGAGATCGAACTTTCTACCCTTGATCGCCTTGATATCTGCAGATACTTCCTTACTTTTACACCCCCCAGTTTGAGTTTACTGGGGGTACGACATACCTTATTGACCCTTGCCAGTAATACTTAACGGATTTGCGTTGGTACTCGTTGCTTGGGAGCTACGAACGGAGGTAATGCCGCCCGCTATTTGGGATGTATTGTTGAAAGTTTGCCCTAGTAGAATAATCAGCAAAATTTTGACAAGCAACTTCTATCGCCTCTTATGCGTATACTTTACCTCTCCCGGGCGTGAGACAATGGAGCGACACTTGGCATTTTAGACCTCGCTCGCAGTGTTCCGAAAGACTGCATTGGTGTGTCCGTTACGCCCCGTCTCTAGAGTGCCGGGATTCAAGTGCGACCTGTGGTGATGAGTGTAATGGCTATCCCCGGCCGCTGACGGGGTTGAACCTAGAATACAACGGCACATAGATTTGGCTTCATAGGGTCCTGCAATAAAAACTGTCTCTGTATTCCGAATGTCAAGAGCTTGCAAATTATATACAGTACTGCCAGTGAGCTATATCCCGCGACTGTAATCCAGGCTCTCAAAGTTTTAGTACGGAAATAGCACACCTAGAGCGCTGCTACCGAAGCCTGCGGCTCCCGAAATAGTCCATGTCGCAATAAATGTTACGAGTGGTCTACTTTTGATGTATATAAACAAACCCGATCTGCATAATAACTACCGCCAGTTTACCACAGTGGTTTCTTCGTTTTAGTCGAGAAGCAATATCCTGTCAACATGGAACCAAAGAAGGGCCTCCTCGATCTGCCCATGGAATTGTTATCAGGATTGGCGGATTTTCTAACGGAAAGCGACGTCAATTCATTATCCCAAGGAAGTCGGCAACTTTATGATGGCCTGAATCGCTCTTTATATTGGAATAATGCTCGATATCTTGGATCCTCGGCATTAATACGGGCTTCTGTGAGTGGGAATTCAGCTACAGCCAAAAGGTTTTTCGAAACAGTGACGAGAGAGGGAACTATTTTGATAACGAACAATGATATTACAAATGCATGGTTCGAAGCTTTACAGTATGGACATAAAGGGGTGGCGGAGATAATACTCGAGAAAGTATGCATTGATGTGAACGCGAAAATACATAACGGTCGGACGCCATTATATATCGCCGCAGAGTTTGGCCACACAGCTCTGGTGCGGCTACTCCTGAACACTGGGAAGGTGGATATAGACGCGGATTTCTCTATATTTGGGACACCGCTATCGGCAGCTGCGAGGCATGGGCATGTGGAAGTAGCGAAGCTATTACTCGACACTGGGCGTGCGGATACAGAGGCTATTAATCTGATGGGTGAGACACCACTTTACTCGGCAGCAAAGAATGGGCAAGTGGCAGTGGTACAATTATTCCTTGACAGGGGCGTGGACCTGGGAGCGATACTCGACGGGGGCCCGACACTAGGTCAGGCTCTGGTAGATATAGCAAGACGTGGCGGGCATGAAGAAGTCGTGAAGCAAATATTAAAGTCGTGAAGGTAGACAAAAACGGCTTTAGAATAGCAGCGAGGGATGTAAAGACCTCAGTCTACCACTTAGAATGAAAAGTATCTTCGGAGAATCCAAATGCAGATCCTTTCGGCCGCATGCAATGCATGTAAATCATTATGTAATATCGCTGGCAGATGAGTCAAAGTCTTATTCTACTGTTAGGTTGCTAAGGGAATGTAATAAAATATAACACACTAAGTTATATTTCGAGGAACATGTTTCTGATTAGTCTGTGTCTTGGCTGAAAATGGTCAGGTAAACCTAAGATATGTCCTTTGAAGCGCCCGGTGCACTGCATGTCTGCTAAAGCATTCATGATATCAAGCCACTAATGTATTACTACTTCGCCACTACAATAATTACCATTTTCAGCCCTCCATTTTAAAAGCTCCATTACTCAACCGATCCGTGCTTAATTTCATTGATTTTTATTGGAAAATTTATGGTAATAGCCCTTTGTTACCCGTACAGTACCAATGCGACGCGGTATTGAATGAAATCTGCTGTCTTACAGTTGATCCTTTGCAAAAGTCTACCCTGGGCACTAATCGATCCTAAAGCTTTGCCGTTTGCTCACATCATCAGCTTGCGTGTTGTTCCAGTTGGGGACCGTATCCCAAGATTGGACTTTTGGTCAAATTACGAACAATGAAGTGATCGCAACTTTCCCATTACCCTTCAATTTATCATTTAAGCCACCGTAGGCGACTTAACCTTGTGAAAGGCTCTCATCATGTTCGAATTTAGAGGGCCATTGGCCATATGCGAGACATATTTGTCCCATAGCTTCGCCATTCAGCAAGATTAAAGCTAACTTATTTGGCACTTGCATCGAAGTCTCGATGATCGATTACCTCTATCACACGAGCGACATGATAAGGACACGCAAAAACGACCACGACGATACCCTCGCATAACCTCTCGAAAGATCGGTTCTGTAGCCCACCCAGGTGCCTCGTCCGCAAAAAATAACGTCAAGAAGGGGTTGGCTGTCCAGAAGCCTCTCTAAATATGACTTATAGCCTTTACCTAACTGTGCAACCACAGAGCCGATGTCAACGTCGGTGACGATAACGTTGGAATGCCACTCCAAGCCGCGGCAGCAAAAGGCCACACTGAAATCGTCAAGCTTCTATTGGATAACGGGGCAGATATCAATAAAAAAAGCAACCCCTACTGTTGGTATCACCAGCTAGGTACTGTGTACAGTGGTTATGCTTCCAAGGCAAGACTCAATTTGATTCGTGTAAAATAGATGTTTCTCCTAGGTCAAGGCCCAATACCCCTGAATCCATACGGCGGGAGCCGTTGCTTAGCAAGATTACGTACAATGTGTCTTTGCTTATTCTGACGGGAGTATATGTCCCGACACCTACCGAACCGCCATCACTGCGGCCTCCTGGCACAACCACATTGAGAACATCTTGCTACCGAGCTCGATATTCGGCATCGTTGCGAGAGCTTTCTGATTGTCGGGACATATACTCCCGTCAGAATAAGCAAAGACAGGTTGTACGTAATCTTGCTAAGCAACGGCTCCCGCCGTATGGATTCAGGGGTATTGGGCCTTGACCTAGGAGGAGACACATCTATTTTTACATGAATCAAATTGACTTTTGCTTTGGAAGCATAACCACTGTCCACTTAACTGTGTACACAGTACCTAGCTGGTGATACCAACACTGATGGAGTACGATTTCATCTTCCACTTCTGGTTAACGGAAGAATAATAGAATAAATAGAATAAATAGAATAAATAGAATAAATAGAATAAATAGAATAAATAGAATAAATAGAATAAATAGAATAAATAGAATAAATAGAATAAATAGAATAAATAGAATAAATAGAATAAATAGAATAAATAGAATAAATAGAATAAATAGAATAAATAGAATAAATAGAATAAATAGAATAAATAGAATAAATATTGAACTGATCTAGTGCTCCTCATTTCTTCACGTAAGCAGTAAGTTCCCGATGGTATAAAAGATTGGTTCCCCCATGATTCCATAAAAACCAACATCATGGGAAAATCAAAAATATGTTCTATTTTGAACAAGCTTTGTGGCAACGTATTAGATAATACGTCACAATCGTCAAAAGTTATGACAGCAACTCACGATGTTGGGCAGCGAAGCCTGGCGGATGCACAGGAATTGTCCGAGTTCCGGGCAAAGGTTAATCGTGGGGAGCACTCACGAATAATTGACTTCGCGTGGATACCGCCAGTGGAAGACAGAATCGTTCTTAATAGGTGGCAGAGACTTATAGTTGAGAAAACTGGTGCACAAAGTGTTTTTTTTGACAATAGTAACACCCAGTTTACGACAGTGGCAGTCAGTTTTGATGAAGCTGAGCTGGCACCGCGAATTGTTGAAGTGTTGGAGAACTGGATCCGTGTTTGGCACGATAAGTACACCGCGCAGCGACCAGCGGGGCAGCGAAGCCTAGCGGATGCACAGGAGTTGTCCGGGTTCCGAGCAAAGGTTGATCATGGGGAGGACTCACAAACAATTGACTTCGCGTGGATCGACCCGGTGAGAGACAGAAGCGTTCTCAATGCGTGGCAGAGAGATATGATTGAGCTCACTGGTGCACAAAGTGTTTTTTTTGACAATAGTCACGGCCGGTATACGACAGTGTCAGTCAGTTTTGATGAAGCTGAGCTGGCACCGCGAATTGTTGAAGTGTTGGAGAAGCGGACGTGTGTTTGGTACGATAAGTGCACCGCGCAGCGACCAGCGAGTGATACTACCGCAGCGTTTACCCTTATCCCGACTGGTAAGCGTGTCAAAATCGACATGGGCAAGAGCAGTTGATTATGTCATGACTTGACATGTCATGTTATTCCATGCAGTGTAGGGCGAAACGCTTATTAAGTTGAAAGTATCTCGGGTGAACCTTAATACTGACTCTCGGCTTTGCCGCTCCCGCCTTGCCTGTCGGTAACACACTGTATCATTAACCTAAATTAGATGGTGTCGAACGTGAGAAGCAGGGGATAATCCAAGCTGCCTTGCCTACAATTATTTTCAATTATGCTGAAGGTATCTATGTGATGTTTCGGCACACCGCCTTATTTTGGCACCTCATATACGTTAGAATAAATAGAACACACTATATATAGAGATATACGTCTGATCGGTCTGCGTCTTGGCTCAAAATGGTCTGGTAAACCCATGGTATCTCTTTTGAAGCGCCCGTTGCGCTGCATGTCTGCTAGCATTTATGTTACCAAGACACTATAATAATTACCATTTTCAACCCACCATTTTAAAAGCTCAATTACTCAACCGATCCGTGCTCAATTTGATTGACTTTTATTGCAAAGTGCACCGTAATAGCCCTTTGCCGCCCGCACAGTAGGCGCGGTATTGAGTGAAACCTGTTGTCCTACAGTTGATCCTTTGCAAAAATCTACCCTAGCCACTCACCTATCCTAAAGCTTTTCTTAGACAAACAACTTGCCGTGTGCTCACATCATCAGCTTGCGCGTTCTTTTCCTTGGCAACCGTATCCCAAGGTTAGACTTTCGGCCAAATCACTGACAATAAAGTGATCGCAACTTTCCCATTACTCTTTAGTTTATCATTTAAGCCACCGTAGGTGACTTAACCTTGTGAATAGGCTCTTACCACGTTCGACCACTGGCTATGTGTGACGCATCTTTGTCCTATAGCTTCGCCATTCAGCAAGACTAAAGAAAACTCAGTTGACCCTTGCATCCAAGTCTCGATGATCGATTACCTCTATCACACGAGCGACATGATAAGGACACGCAAAGACGACCACGACGATACCCTCGCTTAACCTCTCGAAAGATAGCTTCTGTAGCCCATGCAGGCCCCTCGTCCGCAAAAATAGCGTCAAGAAGGGGTTGGCTGTCCAGAAGCCTGTCCAATTATGACTTATAGCCTTTACCTAACTGTACAGCCACAGTGATTGCTTCATACAACTCGCTCCAATCAACATTAGTATTGATGACTCTTTTAAAAAGCGTGCGGAGGATAGGCTCCCTAAGATCCGTCCTACTCATACATGCAAGCCATATAGCGCTGTCATGAGTATGTTTTTCCACATAATCATTCGCTTTTTTGCCAGTAGCAACTGGACAACTTGCAAGTTTCCTCTTTCTGCGGCGGCGGCGAGCGGACTCCGGAAATCGTCACTTACTCCGTATCGGAAGTTCACGCTGGCTGAATTAGCTAGAAGCAATTCCACAATGTCAATGTGGTTGTGCCAGGAGGCCGCAGTGAGGGCGGTTCCGTAGGGGTCACTTGTTTCGTTAATATCTGCCCTGTTATCCAATAGCAGCTGGACGATTTCAGTGTGGCCTTTTGCTGCCGCGGCTTGGAGTGGCATTCCAACGTTATCATCACCGACGTTGACATCGGCTCTGTTATTGAGAAGAAGAGTAACTATGTCTCGAAACCCAAGCCATGAAGCGGTTACCAGAGGGCTATACCCATGGGCTGGATGTACGTTGGCCTTGTTCTCTAGCAGTAGGTTTACCAAGGTCTGGTTGCCTAACAGTATCGCAATCTGCAGCGGTGTAATACCAATCCCAAACTGAGGACAGAATGGTTCATCACCCAAATCGTCTTTACTATTTGGCCCCGGATAAGTGCTGTCGTTGGGTGACGAAGAATCGGTTTGGAAAGCTTTGTGGTGAAGATACCAGCCAATTTCCTAGTTGCACGTGTCGACAGTGTCGACATCGGCTCCTGCCTTGAGTAGTTTGCGTGCGGTATCCTGATATTTGCTTGGAATGGGATCTAGCAACTTAGCGTTTAATAACTCAGCGTCGAGACGTTTTGAGATCGTATGTCTCTTGATACACCTCATTATCGGTGAAGGGTGCTTTGAATAAATATGTCTCGGCTTGTGGTCCTATCGTTTTATGTTAGCGGTTGTTGGAACGATCGTGACTAACCGGCCCTTACATTTTTTTACAAAAATTACAGACCCTCCTAGCGGAGGGTCCGCCACCCATATGAAAGGGATCACCCAAATGACAGATTTTTCCTACATTTTACTTTAACCTCAATTTACTACACCACCACATAGTAAATTAATTAATTTAATAAGAGATATAGATGAATTAGTCAACTTACTACTAGAATACAAAAGCAATTTAATTTCCACTGCGTTTTTTGGCCCTTCCATGCTTCCTGATTTCGACCAATACCTTCTTCCACTTCCGCCTCGTTTTCTCTTGATCGGCTTTTTCGCTCAGTTTATATTCTTTTCGCTTTATTTCTTTGAGCTGGTTTGAATTCATGATGCCGGTAATCCGTACATGACGGCGAGATGCATCATACCGGGCGTGGCGAGCTCCCATGATAGCTTGTGTTCGATCGAATTCCCGCTGTAGCTGGAGAGCTAAAGTAGCCTGCGCCTCGGCACCTTTTGCAAGCTTTGCCAACCCCTCTTTGAAATGCTGAGTTGTAGGATCATATTGATTAAGCCGTAGGCTTATTCTTCTCACTTTTTCAGCGGTTTTTGGGGTGCTAAACTCAGTGTTTTGTGAGTTTATTGATGGTGTATTCGACCGGTATAGATTGTCATAGTATGGATCGTATGACTCTAATTCGTCGGTAATAAGCTTAGAATTAATAGGCCAAAGGCCTGTCAATTTAAATCCAAGCTTAATTGTATGCGGTTTGAAGGTTTTTCGACGAATTTCCCCTATGGAATGTAGGAATTCATCCTTTGAGAACTTGCGGCATCCAGTCATTGTTGCGGCCTCGACAACCTCACTATGCCAGTGTTTATAAACACTAAACACTCCGACATCGAGAGGCTGTAATACATGACTAGTATGCGAGAGTAAAAAGAATAAAATGATATTATTCTTCTCACAAAATTGGACGAATTGACGCGTCATATGGGCTCCAAAACGGTCGCATAACACAAGCCTTTTTGCACCTAGTGTACGGCCAATAGTCCACTTATGGAATAGCTGAATCCACTGGAATGCTAAGGTATCATTGATATAGCCGGTGTCAGTGACAGCTAGATGCTCATCTTCCTTAATAGCATCAAACCAGCGTGCTAAGGCTTGCTTTGCACTTAGAATAATAAGCGGCGGGCAGGCAAAACCATCAGCAGAAACAGCCTCCAAAACAGTCACAGATTCTCGGTTTGTGATAGATCCATTGAATAGCTTCTTTTTTGGATGTCTAGTAATGATAAATTGATCACGTCCGACACCAATTTGAAAGCCAGTTTCATCAAAATTGTAGATGTCTTGCTGGCATATACCGTGCTCAGTCACCACTTGTTTATAGTCTTGAAACCACCTCTCAACAACAGATTTATCAAGTGCAGCACTTCTTTCAACATCAAGAGCCTTCCTCCGTCGTACATAGTACTCAGGATTACGTTTGAGAAAACGTTTTAGCCAGTGGTCGCCGATTTGAGGGGGCGGTTCGCTCTCGTCATGGTGGTCTTCTTCGAGGATTGAATTGGCTGCAATAGCAATTTGACGGCGATTTATCGAGGCTCCGACCGTATCAAAGTAATTGATATATTCACATAAAGCCTGCTCTTGTATGGAATTAAGCCTCCGGCCATTGGGTTTTCTTTGAAAAAGCGATTTTCCACCTTTCCATCGCCGTCGGAGTCGACCTTCGGGGACCGCGAATTCTCGCGCAGTTTTTGCAATATTGGGTTTAGATTGCTCAGAGAGAGAGTCCATTGCTTTCTCAATCTGGATCTCTATTTCTTTATTGGTTTTAGGCATGTTAGGCTGCGTGGTGGAGGATCAATGTGAAAACGGTAAATTTAAAAAAATCTGTCATTTGGGTGATCCCTTTCATATGGGTGGCAGACCCTCCGCTAGGAGGGTCTGTAATTTTTGTAAAAAATGTAAGGGCCGGTTAATTAAGCGAGAAAACCATTTTTGGTCAAAACACAAATGGTACCCCGACCGAGCCGGACGGAATTTAACCCAGTTTTTGATATGCCCGTAATTAAGCACAGAATTTTCGTATAAAATTAATTGGTGTTAAAAATAGGGTGTAGCTGTTTCGGTCAGATGCCCGAAAGAAAACAAAACGGAAAACAAAGAAAATTAAACACAAAACAGACCCTAGTGCCTAAATTATGGCACTAATTTGCTGTAAAAGTCCGAAAGAAACATACGGTAATATGACTATGGTTAAATGACTACAGCCGAATGACTAAGGCAGTTATATGACTACCTTAGTAATATTACCCTGGTTATATAACCATAGTCATATGACGGATTTAGTGATATGACTATAGTGAAATACCCAGCCTGGTTATACAACGATAGTCATAATACTAGGTCCGTAATATGACTATAGTCATATTACCACCTTAGTCATTTGACGGGCGTAGTCATATGACTATGGTTATATTACTAGTCCGGTTATGCGACCCTAGTCATATCACTGTAGTTATATAACCATTTAGTCATATTACTCTAGTAATATCACTGTAGTTATATAACCTGTCTAGCGATATTACTGTGGTAATATTACTCTAGTCATGTTACTGTAGTTATATAACCATTTAGTCATATTACTCTAGTAATATCACTGTAGTTATATAACCTGTCTAGCAATATTACTGTGGTAATATTACTCTAGTCATGTTACTGTAGTTATATAACCATTTAGTCATATTACTCTACTAGATTTTTATCCTAACTTCTTCTCCCAACTTCTTCTATTTCGCCTTTCGTTCCGTTCAATCCTGTGAATTTCCTGTGTTATCCGTTTGTGGTTTTGTTGTGTTAAATACTGCATCCAAACCTTTGATGCGAGCATGGTGTGAGAGTGACAGAGTTCTTTTAAAACGTGTTTCGTCGGGATAAATTTTTGTGTTTTAGTGTAGAAGCAGAAGTCTTTAGCTAGGCGAGACTCGATAGCGTTCGGTAGTTCATTTTTCGCCAGAAACTCGTAGTTGCTGACCCGGAAGACGTTGTCCTCTTTGCTCCAATCTAAATCCAATATCAAATATTGTCGCTCGAACTTTGGCTTTTTATGAGGAGTATTCGTATTCTGCTGGAGTATCGGTGAATCAGGTCTTTCGGCGAGGGGACGGCGCTTATGGCCCGCCACCTTCGCGAGACTAGACACTGTGGGCACGTCTTCCATCTCGTGATCATCGTCGCTAGATAGCTGTGCGTCAAGCATCTGCTCTTCGGAAACTGGTCGATTGAAGCGCGCTTCTACGCCGATATTTGCTTGGTCAGGAATACGGGGTTCGGGGGGCTCAACAGTAACTTGGCTGGGTGGATCCGGCTCTAGGTCTAAGCCATCCGAGGTTCTAGTCGCTGCCTCCATGGCCGTGTTATGTACTTGAACATTTTGATGTTGTGGATGGTCGTTATGTAGATATACGGTGGTGTGATGTGGTGCAAGTTTCGTTGAATCAGTAGACGGATGGCTCCTATCACAGCTCCCCTCGGTGGTTTGCGGCATCTCCTCATTTAGAGATGAGCCTCTAGGGGTCGAATCTGGCTCGCTACTCTCACCCTGACCCACGTCGCTGGTAGAGGCACCCACGACACGTTGTGTCGTGTCGTTGTCTATGACTCTCGATGTGAGGACGTTGTTCCCTCCTGCCTCCTCTACTCTAGGTGGCTCGAAAGACCCCGCAGGGGTGGTCGCGGCATCAGGATAAGGCATGTTGCCTTCGGCACCAAAGGGGATAGTCGCTGACAGATTGTCTCCGGTCTCAGAACCTGGTTCAGAGTTCCCAGATAAACGGTCCACGTGGGAATGTTGAGGTACGAGTGGGTTTAATGCTTGGGAAGATGGATGATCTCTCGCGCTGGAGCTACCCGCCGTTGATAGGCTATGGAAATTATTTTCCTCGGCTTGCTCAGGTACGGTAGATCTCTCCGATTTTGCAGGTTCAAACGTCTCGTATGTATCCGAAAACAGGTTCTCTTGGCTTTGCATTCGAATACCATGGGGGCTCTGGGCGCGGTTTGATTCTTTTCGGCCGTTTGGCGTAGCCTCTTGGGTGCATTTTGTGTTGTTGGTAACCAATCCGGTTGTAGGAACTTGACATTCGCCGATACTGGTGTCTAGCGGTGTATCATGCATTGAAGCGCTCTTTCCGCCATCAGGGGTGTTGATTCCAGAATGATTCGTGGCAGGGGACTGAGATTTCGAGGAAGGGGCGATCTGCACATCTTGCCTACTTTCATGTACTGGGAAAGTAGAGGTTATGCCCACTGAAGACTGAGTCTCCACAGTATCCTCAAGATGATGAACCATTCCGCTTCCTTGTCCACCTTCGGTTGACTTGTCAATTGTATATCTTCTCTCTTCGATGTCTGTGTACGTATGGGTTGAATTACTCCTTGTATTTCCTGTTGCGAGAGACTGGGATTGCGCCGCTACACTCGACCCCTCGCTGGGGTGGCTTTTCTTCGGAGAGTTAAATTGAATATCTGGATTGGCTAATGTAAAGTTAGACGAGGCATAGGCGGAACTGCTTTCTGCTTCCTCTGTGCGAGGAGTAGCCCTTCTCTTTCCGTTGCTGGGCGGACAAGTCATGGTACTCGGTGGTAAGGTTCGCGAGATAGCGGTATCGTTGATGCAAGGCTCGTATTGGCCTTCTGATTGCTTCGACGTGGAAACTTCCTCACGAGAATGAGAAGGATGGTCGAAGTAGGTAGGAGCGGTCAGTGAGATATTTGATCGACGGGACACATGACCTGTTGGGCTTCTTGTAGTGAGGGCCGTAGAGCTAGGCCCTATATGGCCTTCGATGTGACTACCGATGTCTATGTCCATATCAGCGTGGTCCTGTTTTATTCGCTTATTAGGATCGTATTCTTCTGGTTCCAAGGGGTCCAGTTGTCGCGGCAAAGAACTAGATAATTGTAGTGCTTCACGCGGCCGCTCTGTCTCATAAATCTCTGATTCATCGTCCTCGCGTGGCCTTCGCCGCTCTGATGTACCTGCGGAGAGCCTACTAGTGACCAATGATGGAGGTTGAAGCATGGCAACGTCCCTTTGAGTTACTTGAAACGATTTCTTACCACCAAAATTACGGTATGGTCCCGTTGGGACGGTGGCACTTGTGGGATCATCGACAGACTCAGACGCCGGAGATCTAACCAATGTCGCGTGGTCCACATGCAAAGGATCCCCGGAGTCAATGCGAGTAGCGGAGATTGCTTGTTGTTGGATCGGATATGAGTAAATCGTCGTGCGAAGTCCTTCTGGGCCGTGTGACGACATCATGCCATCACGTAGCACAACGGTATCGTAGGTATTAGGATAACCTATGCGCGGATTTATGGCGACGAGGGCCGCAGAACTACTCTTCCCACTATCGGAAATAACCCCTGGACACGGTAATAACCTCTGCTCAGATCGAGGTAGGTAATATTCGGGTTGTAAGTGGCTCACGTGCCGTGATGTCGCCCTTGAACTACTGCGTAAGACATTCGATCTCCCTGCGGCAGGAATATCCACAACTCGACGTTTTCCCATAGCTTTTTGACGCGCCAAACGCTCACTGCTATTGTCTCGGAGGTTACGTAAACGCCCCCTACAGGACCAGTGGACCTTGTAGTCGCATTGTAGGCATCATTTACGAAGGGACTCCTGCGGCTACCATCGGGCCAACGCTGCCACATCTTAGATAGTTTAACGGCCGTGTCTTGTGCTATACGTTCTGTCACCTGTGATATGAAATCATCATTCCGTAGATATTGTGTTTGCTTGCCAGGATACGGCGTCCTTCCAGAACTAGACGGTATTTGGGCTTGATAATATTGCTTGTCGGACCGCCTTGGGAAATTGCTTTTATGGCGTTGGACCCGTCCTGTGGAGCGACCTTTTGGGCTACGACCCAAATTCCTATTGGATTTACGACTTGCAGGGAGTGCAGGCGCTTCACTCATCACAACATCTCCTGCGGTATTGGGATCATAACCTGGCGCGCCTTCTATAGCCAACGTCCCAGAGCTTGGCTGCGGTGTTGTTTCTCCTCTCGGTCTGACGCCGACACTATTAGGGGGAGACGTTGGGGGTGTGGTTGTCCATGGTAGCATGTTCGGCTCCTTGAACCGAGGTTCGTTAGTGGTAGGGGAGTCTGGCTCTTGGATGTGGTATGGTAAGGCGGGTGTGTGCATCGGTCCTTGCAAAGGCTCGTCCCCTGTGCGTGGGCCGTCGCCATCTTTCCATCTCGGGCCCTGTGGCTCAGCCATGCCTAGTGACTCTGGATCATTCGAGCGTGAGAGGAGGGTAGGCTGTTGCGTTGTCATCGAGCTATTTGTGATGATTCCGGACTGAGACGAATTTTCAACGGACTTGGACCCCGAACTGTTCATGGGACCAATAATTCTTTCAACCTCTGTCGTAGCATGAGTACCCATAGAGGCACGTTGCCAAATTTGAAATAGTTGACCCATCCTCTGTGGGCCTATATAGCCTCGGATCTGTGATAGAATTTTTGCATCATCTGGTGTTGTGCTCAGCCTAGTATTTAAGCTTGAGCGAAATTCTTCAAGTTGCAAACTTTTACGTGCGCCTTCTGCAAGATGCCGGTGTTCTTCGGAGTGGCCACGTTTCCGTTCTCGTCTTCGTCTCCTCTTAATATCATGACTTGGAGGGAGCGCAGGCGCCTCACTCATCACAACATCTTTCGCGGTATTGGGGGCATTCCCAGGCGTGCCTTCTATCGCAAGAGTCCCAGGGCTTGGCTGCGGTGTTGCTTCTCCTCTCGGTCTGACGCCGTCACTATTAGGGG